CTAGGCAAAAGGGTTTTACCATGACTAATTCCAACATCTCCACGACTTAGTAAAACGACATGGTCGACATAGTGTTCCTGTTTTAAATCTATAAATAGCTGTGGAGCCCATTCGAAGTTGGTTTGTGCACAGCGATGGTTACTACCTGCCTCAGGCCATACCCCATCAACAGCTTGATGAGCAGCAGAGTATTCATCAAAGGTACTAGTCAGGGAGGCCTCCTTCCAGAGAGCAACATTTCCAAATCTGGCTAATTAGGAAAAAGTGAGAAAATTTTAAGTTTTATCAATTTGAAACCTATAAAGAATTCTTTGCATTTATTCCTTCCCTAAGTGCTGGCAAAAATTAAATGCCGAGTTAAGATAAAATTTTACATGTATGCCGCTGCATACTAAATAACCTCAATTATTTTGCAGTATTTTAAATAGTGTTAGCTACCTTATACTGGCTTTTAAAATGATTTCATTATATAAAGTAAAATACTCATCTTTAGCCATAGAACATAATCGGATTTTTTGAGTTAGCAAAGTACTATTTTGCTCGAAGCATCATATTTTTATTTCAAAATCAAAATATAAAGCATAAAAATATCGTTTAATACATTGTATTCAAAAAGATAATAATATAATATTTTAAACTAATAACAAAATTGTAAATCTTAGATACCGGGGGCTATTTCATCTAACTAATTTGACAGTTCCCTCAAATGGGGGATATTAACTTGGGTTTGTCCGTCCGTCTGTCCGTCCGTCCGTCTTTCTGTCTGTCTGTAACGTTTTCGTTTCCACAAGATATCTCGAGATCCCTTTGAGCTTTTGCAATGAAATTTAGCATAGCAACTCCCTATGGACTAAAGAAGACCCCTATTGATTTTGAGGTCAAAAGGTCAAAGGTCAAGGTCATAAATAAGCAAATTCTGTCTGTTATAACACTTTCGTTTCCACACGATACCTCGAGAACACTTTTAGCTTTTGCTATGATATTTTACATAACAACTCCCTGTGGTCTAAGAAAGACCCCTATTGATTTTGAGATCAAAAGGTCAAAGTTCAAGGTCGTAAATTTATACATTCTGTTTGTATGAAACATTATCATTTTCGGGCGATATTTCAAGAAGATTTTGAGCTTTTGCTATGTAATATTTTACCAAAACTCCCCAGTACCTCTCTCACTCCTCTCAAAGTGCCCCGCCCCGTTTGTTTTATTAGTATTTATTGTATTACATGTCGCTATTTTTAGCACAGGGACATGAGGAGAATTATTACATATGAAACAGGTTCTCGGTGGACTTTATATTCTTATTACATCTATTAGAACTGTTTAATAAAGGCTAAATTAGACACCATGCATTGTGTAAAATTTTGACAATATCGAACGTGAATATATACATGTATGTCACTTCATGTTTGTATACAATTGTCGCCAAAGTACAGCGGCTCCGAGGTCTAGTGGTATGTCTCTCGCTTCAAATGTGAGAGGGCCCGGGATCGCATATTGGACGGTCCACTTTTTTTTCGAAACACTTTTCTTTTTTTTACTAAACGATAATATTCAGCATGTGAAATGAAAAATTTATGAGGTCTGGCTTGTACAAACTCATAATATCATCATTACAGTGTGATAAATATTCCATATAAAAAGAATCTTCTACACACATAATAAAGAATAATCAATCAAACCTTTATATCCATATTGGCATATTTCATTTGCTTACATTGTATGTATACATTTGTATACATTTAATAATTCTACAAATTCAGTGAAGGGAATCCGAACCCCCGACACCCCCCCCCCCCCCGACCCCCGAACTGCGCATGGTTTACTTTTCCCTAAGCGGGGGACACAAATTCTCTGAATTAGCTTGTTTATTTATCATGTAAGCACACTGAAAAAGATGGCATGCAAATCACTAAACAAATTACATAGAAATGACAGCATTTATTCAACTTCATTGCCGGATATACATGTAGTTAAAAAATAATTCTCTGAAATCCTTCTCCTCAAATCCTGTTCGTGGGTATAAAATAAATTAAGTACATAGTTATGATGACCAAGAGTGCCTGTTCCAAAATTATGAATTTCATGGCGCCTGGCTTAGGGGTTCTAGTGTTTGGGCGGGGCTCCACTGATTCTTTAGTAAAAATGTTTAGTTAATTAATTCTTGCGCCAATGCAACAACTGCGGCATACATTTCCATATCAACATCTAAAGAAAAAAAAATTCTTGTTTAATTTTTTCTCAAAAGTCTGTGTCAAATTGTACCTGCACCCATTTTATTGTCTAACTGAAGATCAAATGTTTAGAATGTATCAGCTGAATGGAATTGCGTAAAATGTAACAGCTCCTGTTTTGTGGACTTAGCGGAACTAAGACCACAAAACAGGAGCTGTTACATATTACGCAATTCCATCCAGCTGATACATAAAAAAAAACAAACAAAAAAACTTTAAGACATTATTTTGTTGATATTTATGTCTTTTATTAACCATTCAAAGTACATTTATACATGTATATATAAAATATTGTATTGCCTTGGACTGGCCCATCTTCAGTTGGCATATGATAGAGACAGAGACTTTGGTATCCATCATGTACTTTCAGAGACCCACTGGGAAACCAAGAGTGAAGTAAACAAAAATATTATAAAAAATATCTGCCAGTATTTTCAAAACAAACATGTTTCATACTCAAATGAATGATACTATTCAGACAGTCAAACATTTTCTTCTTCTTTTATTTTATCAGTCCAGTCCAATACGAAAATTCGTAATATTACGATAAACGTAAGATAACGAGAAAGAGTAATATTACAAGTTATCGTAATATAAAACTTATATTACAATTTTTCGTAATGTAGTTAAATTACGAATACGCGTAATATAGCAGATGTAAGAGACTATATTATGAGTTTACGTAATCCAAGACAAATTCAAGCATTTCAAGAAATTGAGTGGCGGGTAGCAAAGTATGACGTTTACTACGAGATGTCACGAGCAATAACTTGTACGACTCTTACTGAGATTTGAATTCTGTGTATTTCAATGAGAATGGCATGAACAGTTGAATTATGAGACGAGGGTGTGATTTTTAGGGTAGACTTCGCAAGAAAAGTAGGGAGTTCGGATGATATAGACCAATGCGACATGCATAAGCGAATATTGAAATTTACTGGAAAATTGGTCCTATCCTTGGGAAAATTCCTATAAAAGAATAATAAAAGAAATTGTCCACTCACCCATCGCTTGCGGTACTTTCTTCTTGAATTTCCATGCTTTCTGATAGGCGTAACTGACCAAACTGACCGCGTGCTATCAGTAGCCGTGAAATCTGATATATTACTGACGTCCTACTTTGCTACCCACCACTCAATTTCTTGCAATGCTTGAATTTGTCTTGGATTACGAAAACTCGTAATATAATCTCTTACAATCTGCTATATTACGCGTATTCGTAATTTAACTGCATTATGAAAATTGTAATATTAGTTTTATACTACGATAAAATGTAATATTACGCTTTTTTGTAATCTTACGTTTTTTCGTAATATTACGAATTTTCGTATTGGACTGGACTGTTTATGATGGTTGCTAAGGGAAGTAACTAAGAGAAAAACAACAGTACTGGAATGCCTGTCTTCTATCATATATTGGCATTTGGAATATTCAGCCAAGATTTCTAAATGCCATTAAAAATAGGAATACAATAATGCATGATGGGTACCATTACAGCTTCAGAAGAGTTTTTAAAAATTCTTTACAGAATTCAGTAGCCTTGCAAATGTTCTCTTTCAAACAAACCGGTCCAACTATACTAGTTAACATTATCATAAGAAAAATGGAGAAACTATTCACTTGATATGAATATACAATTCTAAAAAAAAATTGTAGATTTTTGAAGATGAATTCTCAATATATAAATAAATTATAAAAATTTCTGTCTACTATAAGTTGAGGGTATATTATCTAAGTGTGTCTTACAATTTTATCAAACAAATATGCCAGGATTTGAGGTCTACAACTCTTTAACTTACGTTCGACAGAAACATTAAGAGCCTTTTTTATGTGTGTTACTTTCTCTGTAATTGTTGTTTGACGCATTCTATTCTAATAACTGTAGCTTCTTTTATTCTGTGATGCGGTTTCTGTCTGAGCGACTCTTCATAGGACATTAAAGCCCCGTGTAAGTCTCCCACAACATGTTGACAGATTCCTAGTATCTGCCAGGATAGGTCTCTGAAATTTAAAGGAACATATGTCCCATCATCATAAAGCAGTAGCGTCTGTAGGTCTGTCAGTGACTGTAAACACTGAGATCTATTACCCAGTCTATAGTGAGATAAAACAGACAACATATCTACTAAAAGAAAAGGTGATAACTGTAGGTTTGGCATTCCGTGTTCTTGACTCACATTTTGTTCTAAACATAATTCCTCAATATAGCGGAAATCTTGAAATAAAAACACATGGTATACCCAAGCTATCTTCGTTCTTCGAATTAATGGCAAATAACCTAAAGTCTCATTGTACCTTTGCCTATTAACATTTTCAATATACATAATAAAGTCCTGTGAAAGTCTTCGCTTAGTGAGATAATTGATATTTACTGTCTTATTATATCTCCCTGTTCTATAGTAATACAATGCCAGATACAGTAAATGAGACACAGGACCTGATCTTGCTGCCATTTTCAATATGCCACAAATTATTAAATCTAAGTTATAGATATTTTTATGCGTGGACCATGAAGCACTATTTGTCAACATGAAAGCTAAACTAACAAGAGTCTGAGCAGCACAGTGCTGTAAAGTTAACATCTGGTATGGTGAGACTGATAACCAAAATAGTTTGCTAATTGTTTTGAAGTAAAGATAACAGTCTAGATTATGTTTCAGATAAAAATATAATTCAGATATTTCCTTCATGCCACATTTATCTAAATCTGCAATACTTCTGAATTCTCCCTCAGCAGGAGATAGCACAAATGACGGGCTACTGAGGGCTGGTTCTAGGACTGATCTGAGAGTTGGACTCAGCAGTAGACAGGACACGCCGATTCTGTAATACTGATAAAGCTGTTGTAAAAGGGATTCACGTGTAACACCTACTACTTTGTTTATGAACATGTTGTTCTGTGGAATAAAAAATTTCGGAAAAACTCCACCATAAACACAATGAAGAAGATATTTTAAACACCTCCAAAAGCAATTCAGTAAGTTGTTCGGGCACCATCTAACTTGTCCTAATTGCATCATCCAGAACATTGTGGTCTTCAAGTAGTATGAACATAGTAATTTATCCTCCAAGCAATTGATAACTTCCTTGAGAAATATTTTCAGGAGTCCGTAACATAAAAACTGGGTATGATTCATGGTACACACTAGTTGTTGCTCGGCTTTAGAGAATGATAATCTCCATTCCAATTTGTTAAAAGTCGATCCAACTTTACTACCAATAGGCACACAGTGACATTCGTTTTTTCGAAACTCTTCTAACACAGATACCGGCGGCCAGGTGTGTCTCTGGCATCTGTCAACCCAACTTCCTAATAGTTTAGACCAAGGAATAGTGGCTAAACAACATGCTTCATCGAATTCAATAGGTCCACAGAATCCACTACTACAAGGACCATGGATTCTGAATTTATCAGAGTATGGATCTATCTTATTTCTGAACTGAAAATATCTTTCTCTCCACAGACGACTAGATAAATAAACTCTACCATTACAGAGAACAAGACAAGATTTCGTGATTTTCCGTTCAGTTGGTGTCAGGAGGCGTAATCTGACAAATCCTGGCGGTGTATCAGAATCTTCCATTAATAGGATAACATTATGGTTTGTTGTATTATAAAACTTGGACTGGGATATGTCCGTTATTAATTTATGATCACAACTCCAGAACATCATGTCCCTGTCAGATGATCTCAACCTAAAACCCTCTCTAAAACTACCACTCTTCATCTTAGCTATTCTTCTTTGATTAAAAACAGGTTTCTCTATCATCTCCTGCATGTCCAACACGTCCCTTCTGATGGCCACCTCTGTCGGTGTCCCTATCTTACAACAAAGACCAACATACAGGATCTCTGATAGACGGGGAACGTGATCCATTCTGTAAATTATTAGATTATATGTATTACATATATAAAGGTAAGTTATACTTAAGTATCATTATTGAGAAAGCAGTATAGTAGCGTGGTCCCTTTTTACACCCTTGGTTTACTGGATGTATAGTAGTAATCGGTATTTTGTTTGATTTCATTGTGTATAACAAAGTACTTCTAATAAAATCATAATGATTTATTTAAAGATATCAAAAAGTACAAGCCGATTATTTAACACCCATCGTGCTAAAATATGCCGGAACGTTTCCCCTCCATCAGACTACGGTTTTTCTGTTACATGTAAATGGGCGGAGAGATTTATATTAGATACTATAAAAAGAATATCCGTGATATATAATATTTTCCTTTCAAAGACGAATTATATGTTCAAGATTCACAATCAACAACAAATTTAAATCATCTATTCACAAAACTCTAGCAATATGAATGAGTCACTATAACAAGATTAACCAAACAAGACCATATGCTGAGCGATACAAGATCTGAGTACATTTCAACAGAGTGCTTGCTAGCACGTTTACTGTGGGCATTTACCTGTAACGACACGAATCCACGTGGCTTATTGGGATTCGAAACAGGTCATAAAGAGGTTGATCGCATGTAAATGAAGACAGCGACGAGGTTCAAAATCACAATACTTTTAATAAGAAAACATACAGCACAAAGTTGTTCAACAAAGATATTTTTACTCAACCTTTAAAAATATAATATACACAATATATACCAAACTCGACTCTGAACAAATCTGTGCTCGGTGTTTACGAAAGCTTGAAAGTGTGTACCTGTCAGTGATTTCTTTTGATATTCATGAAAATCAAAGGACCCCAACTTCCTAACGTAGCTTCGAATGCTGTGTAAATCTATTATTTGACATTTTTAGATGAAGATTCAAATAATAAAGACATTAGTTATTAATAACATTTAATTTTTAAAGCCTTTGATAAATGTTCGAAATTTGACGAGTAACCGGGGACCACAGATAAGCCTTAAATGAGACTTGTCCTTTAATATATTTCATATATATATTAAATAATAAACATCTTTGTGTATTTTATGTAGATAGTCATCGTGTCAGTCACGGTTTAGAGCCCACTTATAGCTCTCAAGTACCCGTGACTGATTGATCACATAACTTGACGTAATCCTGAATATTTTCGAAATGATGACTTTAAATGAGACGGCTGATATTTTTGTTTCATCAACTTGCTTGTCAATAATTTATTTTCTTTTAAAAAATGTTCACACGTAGAGCAAGCTCTTGCTTAACGAACAAACTGAGATATAAACACTCCGTATGCAGGTAACGAAAGTATATTTGCTGCATCAGTAAGAGAAGCTGACGATAGAAAAGTTCAAGTTATCACGTTTATCATATAGCTTGGTTGTAAGATTACATAAATGTCATTTTCAAATAAAATATCCAAGTATGACAAAGATGTGTCAGACTCTTTGGTATCTTTTATCTCAAGTAACGCGGATATATCGTATCGAAGTTGGTATGGAAATCACCATTGTTAATTGACAATACGTCGTCGATATATCTAAATGTCAAGTTGAAGGCCACAGCAAGTGTTTTCTTGTTTTCATACATAAGATTTTGCACAAATTCTGCTTCATATGAATATACAATTAGGTCCGTTAATAACGGAGCGCAATTGACATTCATGGGAATTTAAATAGATTGTTAGAATAGCTGGTCTCCAAAAGAACAGATAGACATTGTCAATAAGAAATTCAAGTATCTCTCTGATGTCAACTTCAGAGTACTTGTGTGTAAAATCAGAATGTGTTTAACAAAATAATTTTGCAAATGACAAATGACTTGGTAAGTAATCTACCAGTTCCTTTTTTATTTTAAAAAAAAAAACAGCAATGATATCAAAAAGTCATAAAAACCAATCAAAAAGTAAATTTCATTTTTTTTAAAAGTTAAATCAGAATTCAGGAATACGTTGCATTCTTTGTCGTCTTGCATTTAAATTTTATTTATTAGCAGTCCAGTAGCATTGAGATAAGGAAATATTTCAAATATATAGTTATTGATTATTTTCCTGATCTGAGATAAGGAAATATGTCAAATAAATAAAATTATTGGTTATTTCCCTAATCTTTTGAATACCCGTAGAAATTTGAATCATATGAAATTCCAAAAACAACAAGAAAGTATGACTTCCCCTTCTGCAGAATGGAAAATGATGGAAAACATAACGTTTCTGAAACACAGGACGTTCCTTCTGTGTAAAATAAAATAAAAATAATAAATAATTTAATGCACTGAAAAAAGGAATGCAAATTGTAATGTGATTCAAGTTTTTAATCAGCAGTGCATGCAATGTGTGAGGATAAACTCGACGTTAAACTTCAGAAAAATAAATTCGAGGTGTTAACCATAGAATGACATTTTCATTTTCATCATCATTATTATTATTTTTACCACGGTAATTGAAAGCATGAAAGGGAGCCGCCGGACATAATTCTCCAATAGATCACGAACGTCATCAAAAAATTATCAGATCAGAAACACGTATCAAATCTGAATAATTCAAATGCATTTTTGGCTGTAGAAAGAAATACTTGATTAGACCGCATCGATGTGTCGTCTTTTGCAGTATAAACAATGTAAATCGCATCAAGTTGCTGATGAATTTCGGTTTTTATAGCTAAGCGGCGCTATTCCACAGACCTCCCTACACATTAAACAACGTGATTTTAGCAGTAAAACAAGAACATAATTTTGTTTTTGTATATTCATTTTAACTGATCAATACATATTAAGAACAAATTTGTAATTAAACAAGACTATTTTTAATGCAACGAAAGCTCAAATCATCTGCATTCCATATATAGGTAAGTCAACAAAATTTCTCTCTGGTGTTAGATAAAACAGTGTAATTGAGACATGGTGACCTAATTCGTTTCTCTATAGAGGAAACAATCGGCCGTATTTATCGCCCTTGGTAGAATAGAGATAAAGTCCTTGTTGTCGTGAATGATGCGAAATGCTGTTTGAAATATAAAAGCCTCGGCTAACGCCTCGGCTTTTATATTTCAAACAACATTTCTCGACCTCGGAGGTTATTCTGCAACATTCACGAAAACGCGGACTTTATTTCTAAAACAAATTTTTGTTAAAGTTTCACAAATATTTGTTCAGTATTTAAACATTAATGAAATTGATTCTTAAAGTATTATAAAAATATGAAAATTGCTCTAACCTTACCTTAACCAAACGAAAGGATTGCTTATTTTTGCAAATACGCTTAATTATGTCTCATATTTTCTTCAGCATTAGCATCAAAATACCATTTTCCCTAACATTAGTCTTTTCACCCAAATGCCCTGATTTTTTGTTCTTATCCAAGGAAAAGTGTGAACTTCCGTGTATACAGGCCTATTTTCAAATGCACATAAAATTTTCCCGTGAGAACTTTTATGAGCTTAGCTGCAATAGTTTTCATATTTTGTTGATACGCCTCAATGTGCTACACAATATATTGCTGTATAAAAAAAGAACAACAACAAAAAAATAGCCATACAACTTATTAATGACCAAGTAGATTTACTTGTTACAGTTGGGTATTCTAGGATAAAAGTATAATTTACAAGTACAACACAAACCATATCTACAATTATAATTGTATACTGTTTAACGTCCCTCTCTAAAATATTTCACTGATATGGAGACGTCACTATTGCCGGTGAAGGGCTGCAAATTTAGGCCTATGCTCGGCTCTCACGGCCCTCAAGCAGGGAAGGATTTTTATCGTGCCACATCTGCTATGACACTGGTCCTCGGTTTATATGGTCTCATCCGAAGGACCGTAGTTGTTATTAAAAAATAATTACTTCGTATTGACCAATCAGATTACAGGATTTCACAAAGTTATATAATATTATGTTTTATTTACATGTATAAGCACAAAGAGGAGTATTAATAAATACATTTTGTATGCATTTCCAAGCGTTCTATTATGATTTTAAATAGGATATTTTTAGTGACTTGATAAAAAAAAAATTGGACCATTATTTTACCACTTATCTTTTCCATAGCAACAACTAGCTAAAATAAAGCAACCAATAATTGCTTTATTACGCGTTTGACACATAATGATAAACAACAATGTCTTTTCTGTATATATTGTCTGCTTCTGCATCTAGTATTCCGAAAATTAGACAAAAACTGAAGGAAATTAAATTTTTTAAATTAATTTTACATTTACATGTTAATAATTTATATCTTTTGTAATGAATGTTCCATCTGCATGTATCTAATCGACACATAGAGCTATAATGGCGAGTATAACCATTCAATAGGCGATGAATGCGCCAAAAGCGTCTATTCCCATGAAAATCAGTATACACACGAAGGCGTGATTACATAAGGCACGAAACAGTCACTCAAATACACTACTATGATAGGTTATATTTGATAGCTAGTACTTTATTATGACCATAGAATTTACGAAAATCCGACTTTAAAGGAGGTTTTTAAAATCAATGTAACATCAACGTATCAGGAAGTAGCCTGCCTCGCTTTAAAACTTGATCATACTCAGAGCAAGCTCTTGAGACCGAAAAAGTTGTGAGATAAACATCACAAGCTGGTAATATTAGACTTTTACGAGAAGCGCTGACCTTTACAGCTGACGGTTTACTTTCATATTAGGACAGTGTACAGAAACATGAATATTTAGCTCAACATTTAATTTAAAATAATGGAAAATTTCAAAGCACAAATAATTTGTCCTTGAAGA